AATTTTCAGATCAGATATTGGCCGGAACCTCTACACAATATTCCACAGCACGACGAATAAATTTACCCCTTTGCTACGTATTAAAAATCCCCAACTGACGTCATGCCACCCCCAGAATTCTTAATTTTATATAATGCTGTATTTTTTCATTTAGGTTCCGCAATAAAGAACAACAGTAACGCTCCGCTCTGACTGAGTTTGTGAAACGTATACATGTACAGGGTAACAGGACGTAAAACACTCTAGTTCAAAGGATTAAAAAAATCAGCAAGGGACAACAGAGTCTTCTTCCCGTGTCGATCAAATCTCGGTAAGCCAAACCTAAGACCGCTAGCATGTAGGCGCCCTCTCTTCCTTAGTGTCCAAAGGTTAAGTCAGACCAACGCTCATTTCCAACGTACCCAATGTAATCATTAACACAATAGTCTGCCGACACAGCTCAGCCACTACATACAGTCCATTATCTAGGGATTATCCCTCTCATTAACCGGCGGCACGAGCTGTCTATTGTGTAGGGATGATTGCTTCCTACTCCTTGATTACCTTGGGATTGCCTGGTGGGCTAGTTAGTATACTATGTTGATATGCCTTTACAAACCCGAGCACATGTACATAATTGAGCATAAATCCTACAACAGAAATCTTTCCTTTTTATTCGCAAAGCACGCTCCATTCCGTCCTAGTACTGAAGTCATACGCTTTTACAGATAAAATACAATACGCAGAAAAATGGACAAAATCAGAAGAATATTCCAATAATCAAAAGTTGATGCCTCGCTTATTGAACACGTACACCCCTCTTAAACATGGTACGGGCTGGCTCCTCAAATTATGTTAATGAGGCTAAATTTCCGCCAAATCCTGCGTTCTGATTGGTCGAGAGGCTAAAATGATGACGTAATATCGACTATACTGGCCCTAGGCACTACTGACAAATTCGTCGAATTCACCCCCAGGGCAATATCGGGATAAACCTGTCCCTTTGAGAAAATGGAAACAATATATTTCCTTCAAGTAAATTTAGGGCTTTTGTAAATCTTGATTAAATATATCCTTCCTTCTTGCTTTCAAAGACCTTTTACCAAGAGAAAATCTCGGCAGTTTCTTCTGACCTACAGGCTGATGAACTATGACGATCCTGGGGATGAACCAAAAATAATTTATTCGATCGTTTGCTTTTTACTTGGGGATTGGGGATTAGCCAGCGCACAAAAGTTCCTTCAACGTCTTTTTGGTACAATGTTATTTAACTGGGCCAAACTAAACGCAAAGAAGTTGAGATCTCTTACAACCATAACCGGAGTGTATTTCACAGGAAGGCACTTGTTGACCCTCACTTGGGGAGGGCACTTACTTGGTTTGGTCATAATTAAAACACTGACCAACGCAGACTATCACCAGATTTCTTTTCCTTCTCTAATATCTGACCAGGGAGGTACACGGACGGGGGCTACAAGAGGGGGTCAAAGGCAGTCCCTAATGTGCCTCAAAGTTACGCCACTACAGCAGTAGTGCAGCCTCAGCGTCTGTAAGGGCGTTGTTTGTCCCTGGTACAGAGGTCAGTTGGACTCTTCAGCCAAAATGTGAGCAATCTGATATAAATGACTACGCCACTTTGCCAAAGATGGTATTACATTTCCTTCCATATATCATGCATTACAGCTAACGCAACAGGAGACAATCACGGTCTGGGCACCTTGTGTTTTGACCATCTCGGGGTATTTGTTATGTTAACATTTAAATTTTAGTTCTCTTCCAGCTGCCGACCCCACGGAGGTAAAATTAGAAACAGAAGAACAACGGACTCGTTAAGTTTAAAGAAAAAGCATGTTTTGTCGAAAGATATTAAAAATCATTTTTCTTTAGATAAATTTTTCTTCCTGTTGCTAAGTATTTTTTTCTTGTTGATAAGTAACGCACGTGTTTCAACAACACGGCCATCAGTTTTATATCATTTATTATCAACTGAAAGGTTGTTAAAGAGTAACACGTGCAACGTAGAAACGAGACGTCGAAGGGACATTTTGCGAACGCAAATTTATCGCAATATTCTTCAGACAACATATCTCATTTTGGGAGACAAGGTCCAAAACCACTACCCTTTTCCCCCTGTTTTCTGGCCTCTCGACCAATCAGAAGACTGGATTTTGCCCACGTAACACCTCATTTGCATAAAATGAGGAGGTGGTCCGTACCATTTATAGTAAGGGTGTTTATATGTTGGAAGGATTTTTATATAACATAATTATAATAGGAATGTATACTTTACTATTATTACACTGAACCTTGGATAAGCATCTGCTACTACATATAGACAAAATGTAAAGGATCGATTAAGTACGTTGATTCTTATTGTGTTCGTGTTGAATCTTTTAACGCCGTGAAGAATGGTTTAACCCGAACCCGGTTTAATGAATGAAGCGGGACTCGGATATGATCGCCATGTGCGATGACGTGTTGCGACATGTTCGAGTGTTTGCCGCAATTTTAGGTTTCGGACATCGCCTGAGTCACACCATTTTATGTATGTATTGTACATACACGTGTTACGTATATGCAGTGTAATTCACACAAACATTTTTTATAGAAGTGTGTGTAGTTTTTTGTTGTAGGTCTACTACGATTTGATACCGTACAAAAGGCCTTACGGGATGTATGGCCGAATGCAAGAGAGTATGGCACCGTCGATTACTCTGTTACCTGCGAATTTGGCGTACTCGACCTTATCTCATTTAACATTGCTCACATGGTGGTTGGATTCCTTCTTCCGGCCTTCATAATAGCCTTCTTGAATTTCAAGGTGTACGTCAACATCTTCAAGCACTTCAAAGGGATAGTCCGCACTGCGATCATTCCACTAGGCTTGGCCAACCCTCCCACAAATCCTCGATTCGCTTTTAGAGCCAATAGTCACCAACCTATCCAAGGCATCAATACCACGTACAAAATGCACTGCAAGGCTGCTATCACTCTGGCGCTTATCGTGGGTGTGTTTTTCCTCAGCTCAACCCCCTATTACATCATAAATTTCTTATCTTTTGCCGGGTTCAAGTTTAGCTTGCTGCTGAGTAATGCCGCTGACTACACACATGTGGGTCAACTCCGCCATCAACCCGTTCATCTATGCGACCACAAGTCCCAAGTTACGGCGGAGTATTTTGGGAGTCGTATGCTTCTGGAATCACCGCCTTCTGAGGAAATTATGCCTGCAGTAGCCAAGGGACGCTCCATGAAATCCTATGACGTGGTTTTTCAACAGATCTGGCAAAGCACTGACAAGCACGGATTGATGAACAAAATAATGCACATTTAACTTCAGTTCAGTTCACTTTCCACATAATATTACTCTATAGAAACAGTTTCACAAAGTGTATATAATGTGGATGGGGCCCCCCCAAGAAGCAGTGCTTGTCGAGTGGGGTCCCCAGTTACGAATAAACAAAGTTCCACAAAGACAACAACACAATAACACTTTCAACATAATAAATATTAAATACAGCACATGTGCATGACCATGTAGCCTTTACCTGCTGCAACCCCCTGAGAAAGAAATTAATCATCACTTACATAGTTAATTAGTAATTTACTTTTATATTTTGTGTTTGAATGCTGAGAGACTAGGTGCACGTTTTAAGGAAAAATTCATGGCACTCCATAAATTAGGACCTACCTGTTTCGCAGCAGATGTAGCGAGCTTAGTATATGTGCGAACGAGCGATGAAATTCATCAATTTGCCTTGTAAAGTGGTGATGAAAACTGAGCAAATTGATTGAGATGGCTGAAAGTTATTGAGGTGATACATAAAGGAGCCCAACTGGAAAGTGTAGATGTCAGTGATTTTTAAAGTATTACAATTGTAAAAAAGAGGATTACTACACTCACGAAAGTTAACATTACTAATTACGTAAGGCCTTTTTCTGTAATTGTAAAATTCTATTAATATGACCAACACCACTTTTGCCCCATTCAAGAATTCCATATGAAAGTTATGGTAATTGTCACGGCCGGAGTCTCCGTCCTGCTACTTCTACTGAGGGCGCTCTTCATAGTTAACAGTGAAACTTATCTTTTTCTATCGGACTTCAAAGGGCGCTGTCCACTTTTCTTGGAATTCAGAGGATTCATTAGTTAGCAATCTTGCCAGAGAATTTTACCTGTTTTTTCAACTGTTATTTTGTGTCACCAGATCCCTGAGACATGCCATTGTTACAGGCAATATTTCTCCCCATATTGAGCCACAGTCGTGTAAGTCCAGCTGTTCTTGATGTAATTTTCTCGATATTTTCGTAAGGCGATCTGACTTGTTATTACCATCCCAGGGCGTTCCAAGTTACTCCCCATTTTATTGATCGCTTGCCATTGTTAAAGTGTTAGATAGTACTTTAAGTTTGATCTTAGATAACCATAGATTGCTGCAGGATATGCCATGACTTTCTAGATTCAAGACATTATAGTATTCCACTGCATTTATCAGTTTTCCGTGAGTGAGCAATACCTGTTTCTTGTCTACAACCCGCCATTGTTAGGATGGAACGATCCCTGTATTAAACACTTTGCTTATTCCCACGACTAATTGGAACCTATAGATACGTGTTCAGTGGTTTAACTGTTTTTCTATTGCTATTTAGATGTACGTTGTGATGTTTACAAGAGTTGTGAAGGCTTTCTCGTATTTTTGTTACAGTTTTACCGTGGAATAAAGTCAGTGTGGATACCGGAGCCTGACCTTCGGCCATAATTCTTCTTTGTTCTTCGGTTGAACTTTCTGGTCGAAATCAAGTTACCGCCCCCGTCCGGCTACACTTTTATGTTGGAGAGAACAGTAATATAAAGGTGTCGTATATAACCATTAATAAATCATGGGGAAAGAACTTAACTATAAACTGCCCATCGGAAATCATCAGTTTTAAGATCTACTCCTGCCAACAGTTCTTTTTCTATGTTCCATCAATCACAGTCTCTTTACACACACAATAAAACACTAAACCAAACCTCCCAATTAAATTTAGCGATAGTGCTGCATGAGAATCGGTGCTCATTCCTCACCTTTTATTCTATCGGCATGACTACCATTTATGCCATGTGCTGTACTGGGTTTTTATTTTTTTTTACAATATTTCAAATTCCATTAGGAAAAATGTACATCAGTGGCTCAATATAAAATAAGTCGTCCATCGGCCATGTCATGGAAACGTACTCTTAGTAGTTAATATTGAGAAAACTTTCAGTTATACTCCTGTCTGCATACCCCAGTTTGCATATGCAAATTGTACAGCAACTATCTTATGTCGTCTTTAATTTTAAATAATACACAATACCGTTTTGTAAGCAAAACCATGTATCTGGTTTTCTACTGATCACATCATTTATCCATATTTTAGAATCACTCCATTGGATACTATGACGTTGAGGGGAAACCTGTGTCCAAAAACTGTCAGTGGTCCCCTCTGTGCTGGTGTTGGACTTCACCTCATAAATCTACCGGTATGGTGACAATTTTAACGTGCGTCTATTGGTGTGCTCGCTAAAACTAACCATCTACACAATTGATCCCCTTCAAAACCCCATCCTGACATTCCAGATTACATAACACACCTGCCTATTGACCCACACACTATGTGTTATTCGAATTTCCAAGACAATAATTTCCCGCGTTACTGCGAACCGCGGGAAATATATAGTCTTCTCTTTACACTCACAATAAAATACTAAACCAAATCTCTCAATTTAATTTGTCGATAGAGCAGCACGAGAATCGATGAGATAGAAAATACCAAAGCAAGGGTTGCAGAAATCCAACTTTTGCAGAAATTCAAGTAATAACTTTTAACTACATGTAAACCCTGAACTCTTCCCGTACCTCCGTTGAAATGAAAACTCGAACTGCATAATTTATAAACCCAGTATTTGGGTCACTTGCAGCCGCTTCCTCAGTGAGTCTGCAATGTATCCGTCTTTGCTTACATCACTCTTCCAGCGTCCATGACGCTTTAGACAACGCTCACTGATTTGGTTATTAGCCGCTCCCGTCGCTCCCCTGATCTAAGCGAATTTAAGCCTAAGTTCAAACCTGGCGCTCCTGAAGCCAACATATTCAAAATGCACTGTCTTGCTCTTGTGTAGCTCAGCTTCTTGTCCTTGTATATTAATTTACAAATACCTTTAGATATGAAAATCGGTTTGAACAAGTAACCGGATGTTTTTGTAGTCTACATTTGCTGCTGACACGTATTTATTTAACATATTGTATGGACATGCCGAGGTGGTACCTTTACGGCGACCGCATTGCCACTACGACATTGATCAGTTTTACTTTTAATTATCTAAATTTTGAAAAATTCATTTGAATATCTGTACAACGTATGGAGCTGAGCTCATCATATCTTAGAAAGCCTGCGAATGCTGTTGTAATGCTGTAGTAATTATACATAAGTTTATACCACAAGATCCCCGTTATCTTTGAACTTGTCACACAATGCTCTTACAATATCAGCCGTGACAACATCTTTTTTGACTGTTTTATGCCCAGTAATGCGTTTTGCCGATTCATGCAGATTTCTCACAAAAGCACTATTGGTAGGATCGGCGAAACCATTGAGTTCATGTGCCCACTTGATACTGTATACAGCAGATGAGATGACATGATGGGAATTGTGACCGTCTAAAAGCTCGGTGAGATAAACTGCAATGTGCACAGGTTCAGCTGGTAGAGCAGGAAAACCTTTTAAGGAACAGAAACCTTGCCATCTCTTGAAGCTATTGTAATATTTGATGACTGTTCTATCGCTTTTGGAATGCATAATAAACGCACACATTTTGCTAGCAATTCCAACGTCATTAACTCCAGCCTCATGAAGTGCCTGTGAAACATGTCGCTTCAGCCCGATACCTGTGACACAGAAACAAACTTCTGTTACAATGTGCCGGACCTCTAGTCTTCATTCAAAGTTATTTTCAGAAGACAAGTTTCAGTGCTTTCATTTTGAATTTCAAATAATTCTCAGCGAAAATACCATTATTACCTCGTCCTCTGTTTATAATGTTTACCTGGGGCAATACCTGGCTGTCAACCACAAAACTATTAAAAGCTTTGTTTTTTGACACTGGAAACGATCAGAACTGGGCTGACTTCCACATTGGGATGACCAGAGTACTCTTCGAGCTTTCCTGTTGCAGTTTCATCAAAGCTTTCAATATCAACCTAGGTGGGGGCACCATCCAATTGCATTCATTCTTCCAATTCCGATCGAAGGCATTGACCCCTTCCGTACCCGGGCACCACCATCTTGAATTAAATTTTTTACAATGTGCGCGCAAAATGTTTTCCTGTATTTTAGCTAGCTGACTTTCCGATATCTCTCACTGAGACTAGCTGATTTTATTCTCAAAACCTGCTAACTTAGACGATATTAGATCGTCCAGTTTGTCCATCAATGCGGATAGAGAGCTTACAACTGCTTGCCGCACTCGCTCGAGCTTGCTTGCTGTTCCATTGTGGAAAATAGGTTCAGGAACGCGCATCTATGGGTGTGCTCGCTAGAACTAACCATCTACACAATTATTACCCCCTTTAAAACTCCCATCCTGGCATTCCAAATTACATAACACACCTGCTTATTGACCCACACACGTGTTATTCGAATTTACAAGACAACAATTTCCCGCTTTACTGCGAACCGCGGGAAATATATAGTCGTCCTCAACATGGGTGCACCCTCTATCGTCACAATCTGGGTCATGCTGATATATTCTGAAAGTTGAACACTGATGGCGCCCTTCCAAAATCCTTGGCTATTAAAATAAGGTCCAAATTTTAAAAATTGATAGTTATTTTGCTTTCATTTACTTAATTGAATAGTCGTTTCCGATATAGGCTTTGAACAACTTTGCTCTGTGTACTTGCATGAAGACGAAAAGTTACAAAATTGTTTTATGATATTTCTAGAGGTAAACATTGAAATTTAAACAACAGTCTGGAAAAAGTTCAGCAGCTTAAAAAATAATCTGCATTTTTTTGGATCATTTCTACACTCTAATCTGACCTTTGCTAAGAAGAACTGCATCAGGCTACCCTGACTAAATCTAAAACACCTCAACAAAATCTTCGCAATGTTGTACATTCTCGTCCTTCAAAGTACGCGAGGTGAAAAAACACGTACATGAAAGAGACCTAGGAAGAGAATGCCGGAAGTGAAAGGACGTCTGATTTTTCCACATTATTACTTGAATTGTATTCCGACATGAATGTTTCCTTGGTGGTTTCAATTAAAGATCGTATGTTTAAAAAGAGCAGAACGTGATAGGGTGGAACCATGCACGTAAAATCCCCAAATAGCTGTGACGTATTTAATGCACAAAATGTTTGAACGACATTATTTTGCCTTTCCCAATGCCCTGTGAGGGTACTAAGTGAATCGTTCTCAATTTGTGTGCTCTTTCTATCGTCGCAATTTTGGTTTTACATGCTAGTAAATTCTGCAAATTGAACATTGATGGTGCCCTTCCGAAACTCTTGACTAGACAATAACGCCAACATTTTTTAAACTGCACATTTTTGCTTTTATTATCTTCTTTAAAAATCGTTTTAAACGTAGGTCTTGTACAACTTAGCTCAGTGTACTTGCATGCAGACGAAAAGTTACAAAATGTTACAAAATTGTTTCATGGTATTTCTAGACGTCAACATTGATATTGAAATAAGAGAACAGAAAATTTCAGCAGCCTTAAATTGGAAAACAAAATAACTAAAGGAATAATCTGCATTAGAGGAAATTTTTACAGTTTAATCTGACCTTTGCTGGCAAGAACTGCATCAGGCCTGCCTGACTAAATCTATAGAACACATCAACTGCTGGTACGTAAATCTTCGAAACGTATATTTTCGTCCTTCATGTAAGTACGCGAGGTAGAAGAAAGGTACATGAACAAAGAGACCTAGTACGGGAGCGTATAAGGGCTACATGCAAAAAGTTTTATTTCGAGTTACTATTTCGCCGCGGCGAGACGATAACTCATGTTTTGGGGGTTTTTGTTTGTTTGTTTGTTTGTTTTTTTGTAAATGGCCCCTGTACGCTCCGTAACCTAGGAACCAAATGCTGGAATTGAAAGAACGTCTGATTTTTCCACATTGTTACTTGAAATGCACACAGAAAATATTCCGACATGAATGTTTCCTGGGTGGCTTCAGTTACAGATCATTTGTTCCAAAATTGCAGAACGTGATCGGGTGGCACCACTTGAAATCCCCTTAAGCGGGCCGAGCAAGGATCACGACAGCTCGCCATGTGACCTTTTAATTTTAGGCTCTACTGAAGCTAATGCGCTACTGAGAGAAGAAAACCGAGAAAAAATTACAACTATTTTTAGCTCGGTGCTTGCCTTTTTTGACAGGACTATCAAAGCGAGACTTTCAAAATCCCTGTTGTAGAATATGAAGTACTTCACCATCAATAAGTTCTGAACACTACAACAATTATAATTTAAAACTAAAGTTGATTTCATTGCTACACTTCCAGCTAATTCTTGATAAGTTACAATGTTGACTAGCTGCTCGGGGAGTTATGATCTGCTACTTTACTTGGCAATACAACACCTGGAATTTTCCAAATCATTTCAGGTGGACCTTCGGTAGTTAACATCTACACCTGAACACGTATTTTTTTTCCCAAGGTTGCTGGAAAATGAAAACTGGCTGCATTTGATAGGCCTTGGTGATCTTGAGCACAGTATTTAAATACTTGTTGAATCTTTCTTCTCCCTTTGTCATCGTTGGAACTGAACGTATAGCGATCGTGTGAAGATTTTCCACGAAGTGCCACTCGTCTTCTTCCCATTTGCAGCTTGTTGTCGATTATTCGCTGTCATTGGTTGGATTTTCAAACTGGCGTGTATAAAAAGACTTTTCGTCGCTTTGCTTTAAAAAAAGTCTACCTCTGAAAAAATTTCTTCTCATTTCAAATCCTATATAAAGGCCTACATAATGATCCAAAAATTCAAAGCAAAACAATTCTTGAGCAAATCTCTCGGATTGGTCCTTTGCCCCAGCATAACGATTACGACGCTTTAAGACACCAACCGACAATACTCGTTTATGAGACAAAACGCTCTTCGGGCGAGGTTGACAAAAATGTCTTTAATCAAAGGGTGTCCAATTGTTGCCCCGGATAGAACTACAAACACGGCGCTGTCACCGACGCAAATGACTCACGCAGTGCTTTTGGGCCCAACACTGACTTGGTCAGATACTTTATCTTTATTACCGTAATTAAATTGGAGTTTTTGTGAGGTTTTCCAGGCAGCGTAGAAATGGGCAAACACGGGGAGGCTGGCCCGCTTACGGACTTTGGACAGGCAGAGGTAGATAGGTGTCCACCGCGCAGTCATCATGAGCAGGAAATGCAAATTGGCGCCGGAAATGAGGGCGACACTGTGCTTCGGCGGCGACTAGACAGGGTGCAGTCACGGATGGGTGTTGAATCATCGCCAGTGCGATTTTACAGGTGGCTTCCGTACGTGTTCCATTATTGTGTTGTGTACTTGATGTTTTGCATACATTATGAGCCATGGGGTGAAAGGCGCGGTATAAGGGGGAATGTGTTTTCAAATCCAAGATGATTAAAGGTGGGTTTTGATTATCAAATTTGTACGCGTTTTGCCCTTTAAATGCTGGGGCCCTCTATTCATTTCTAAATTCTGCAACTTGCATCTTCACGTTTTCTACACTGATGTCTTCTGTAAATTCATGCATCAACGACATTTTCATTCGATTCTAAAAAGCAAATTAGAGTTTTGAATTGGCAAATTGTGAAGACGAGATGACGGTCAATTGAACTAATTTCAGAGATGTTTGTGCATGAAGACTTAATCTGATCACATCATCACTGAGCCTCGAATGAGCACTTCAAGCGTGCGAAATGGTATGGCTACCCTTACATTTGAAAAAAAAAAGGGTCAATGGGTAGGACGTAGTCGATGATATAAAAATGTTCTTTCTCATAATTTGTGAAATAGAGCCCTCCTACAACATGTTTAATTAAGATGTGTTTTCAGTGGGTTTCGACGTAATGCTGGCCAGAAATCGAACTAGGTCACGATGTCATGTATTGTTAATATCGTAAACCTAAAATGAGTGTATTTCGATCCTCGTTTGTTTGTGTTGATCGATTCTCCTGCGGCATTGGTATATATTTTTTTTTCGAAATCCCTCCACAGGTTTAAGCTTCAGGCGAGCCTTAATAGACCCAAGTCTTTTTTTCACTGATGTGAATACGTGTGATAGGCGCAGATCAACGCGTTGGCTCATTGACGCCTTGTCAATTATTCAACATGTTATGGAGTGGCTGTCACCGATCTGCCAATGGTCCCCCGTAAATGGGTAATTCCACAAAAAGGGTTCCATTTTTGTGTGCGTCCCTGTCACATCTGACATAGGATTTTGTAAGTTCAGAACACATTTTCTAATTTCCAAGAGTGGTGAATGAATTGAAATTACCTGCCAAACAAATAGTAATAGTTTGAAATCAATTCCGGTGATATTTCCATGTCATAAAGCAAAGGTCAGATGTAACGGACACAAAAATGTCACACTTTTAGACTCCTAATTTCTGGGATTACCCAGGCACATCCGATGAACAAAATTTTAACATCACGACAATCATGTAGGGCATTCCATTTGTACTGGTGACCCAGATGAGTTGTTTCATCGCCGAGTTAGCTAAACCTGTCCTGCTCGTGGCATTTCAATTACAGATGTTCTGTGGCGGTAAATTTTAAGGGTATAGTAACTAAGGGCCTCATAGTAGCACTATGTCGCGCTTCAATATGGCATGCGTCACAGGCCACTAATGGAAGCATTGTGGAAGTCTATGCGCTCTACGATTGATTTAACCTGCAGAATCAATCAAAATGTTTTTACATCTTCTAGAACTACAATATCAAATTACGGAGTTGTATATACCGCAACTCAGCTAAAAACATGCACACGAAAAGACGGATGAAAAAAAAAGAGAAAATGCAACTGACACGTGGCAGGCCAGTCTAGCTTTAGTTCATTGGGGAATTTTCTCAGTTTTAAAGAGAAAAGAACAAGCATGAGTAAAAGTTTGAATTGGAAAGGAGGTTAACTTTTCATTTTGGGAACCTCAAAGTAAAAATAACAGCAACGAAATAAAATTGCAAATTAATGTCAGTTTCACATTTTCACCAAACAAACAACTGTAAACAAACGTCCGCAAAACATTTTTCACCTGGGAACTTCAACGGTTTGGCAATCGGTTTTCTTTTACCTAGTGTAGGTTCTGCTTTGCAAATATTGTTTTCACATTTTGGGCCATAAACCCTAAGATACCGTGAGTATAGCAGAAGCCAGGACACTGTAATTTTTTGAGGCACACTCATGGGCGTCGCCAGGATTTTTTCCGGGGGGGGGCATTTTCCCCATTGGATGGGGAATTGATGAGAATTATGATAAACCCGCTCAAGGCCAAGGGCGAAGGGGCGATATTTTTTAAAGCAAATCGATGACTCTCATCCCATTTCCTCTTTTTTACTTTTTATTTCGTTTTTCCCACTTGTTTTCAATGCTCCCCATTTTTTTCAGGGGGGGGGGACAAGTGCCCCCTCTTGCCCTCCCCTCGCCACGTCCATGGACACTCTGTCTCTCCCCATTGCCAATGACGAGTCACCTTCTCCTTGCAGGGAATCCCACCGGCTGTCAGGTTTTGCAATGAATGCAAAGGTTGAAAGCAAAGATAAAAATCCATGAAACTAAAAATTCCAAGTTCAACCCAAATTGCAAGTTGAAAGCAGTGCATGTACTTGAAAAGGCCGGAAGTATATGTTTATGGTTATTCATCACACACAGTCGGGATATTTCTGCAAAATTACAAGGCATCGATGATAGTTTTAATTAAGGCAAGCACTGATCAAGACCTTGAGAGGAAATGAGTTCACGGCTCAGTGTCGTCAATTATGTCAAAATGTAAAAGCTAGGTAAATAATTAATTTAAAGACATCCAAGCCTCTTTCTCTTACTTTTATGCCCTTGAGACGTGGTGTCAATTAGGTATGTTCTCTTTCCTTTTACAAAGATATGAAGGTTCTGCACATTTAAAGCTTTGTGGTGTGGAACATGTTTGTATGGAACTTACTTTATGGCGTAATTATTTGACATGATGCGATGTCAGCGATTCCAGTTTGGAGTTTTTTAACTGACAGGACTAACTCTTTGGGGCAGCTTAGGGCGAACGGTGGTTGAACATGCATTAAGCTGTAATAGGAAATAAAGAGATTATTCAGTGTAAATAATGTAGCAAAATTAATGCGTCAAAATTTCGGCACACTGGACGCCACGCTTTTCGTCAAGACATGTTTTTGGTGAACACTTGTAAGCGAATCAGATCCGTTTTTCGTTCATAGCAAGCGATGCAAGGGATGATTTGAATCGTGCGCGTCACTATATGCTATCACACAGATACTAGACTAAACTTCAATTTTGCCCTTATCAAAATAAATTGGGGCGGATCCGGAAAATTCAAAGCAAAAAATGTTTTTCTTTGTGGGGATCGTGGTGATTAAATCGTAAATGCAGCAATAGCAGCAGCAAATTACAATGTCCAGGGGTTTATCGTTATTGTATCCCACTGTTGATCTGTGGATATTATCTTTGATGGGAAAAGGGTATATGCATGTACCCCCACATCTTGCAAGGGGATGGGCAATTTTGACCGTCCTTTACTTTTCGGAGATGTGAAAGAGAATGTTGGGTAACTAGGTGATCAGTACACATCTCAGCCATATGTAAAAAAAGTAAACGAATAACACGCACTTTAAAAGTACCATTTACATTTCCCTTACGAACAGCTCTCCCTTAATTAATACGGTGCCCCCAGCCCTCACTTTTTGAATGTCCGGGGCTGAGCAATTTTTTTAAAGAGGATATTCTACTTCTCGCCTACATGTATTTATGCCTGCTCTTAAAGCAAATGAAAAATATCCACTGAAGGTACTAATTCAGGATGATTCTGGCGCAGAGGCAGTGTTAGCTGGACAGTGTTTTTGTCATAGGAGAGTATATCTGGTCAACCAGTTTTCAGCTTTAAAGTGTAGCTGCAATTTGTTTTTAGTTTACACAATTTTCTGCATCTTTGTACTTTTCTTCGTTGTATAAAACTCTTTTACACTCCTATTTAGTTAAGTGTACTGAAAAGTGCATGTTTAAACAAATAAAATTATCCATGGAACTGAGGGCACTGTTGCTGTGACATCTTCTGGGAAGACATTGTTCAGTGCATAGGTGTTTCTGTTCAAATTGTGAGCCCAAAATTTACCTACTGAAAACATTTCTGAGAGAGGGATTGACATTTTCTTGTTGCTATGCACATGAACAACAAAGAATCAGCAAAGAAGAGAAAACTGAGTCCAGGAAAATCTACAAAAATGAAGAACTGTGTACAAACCAAAGTAACATTGTGGCTTCTTCCTGAGATGACATAGCAGTTTTGCTCATGAATACGGAAATACTCATTAGCATAAGTGCCAAAAAGGCGAATACCCTTTGAAATAATGAAACAGAAGTTGAAAACAAGGTCAACTGAGGTAGAAAGGTACATTTTAGACGTTTGTAATCACAAAAATCTATTGCAGCCACCCTTTAAGTTTGCTCCAACTGACAGCCATAGATTTTAGCAACTTTATAGGTTTTGTTGCATAGTTCTTTACCCGAAATCCTTACTCCAATGGAAGGTTCTCTGTTGGTTTTTGGTTTGTTTTCCTGTAAATGCAAATTCACAAATGTTGTTTTTCAGTTAGGGGAGCCGACTGATCTGTTCACTTCCTTGAAGGTTTGCCACTCGTGACATTGCTGGATTAATTGTTGTCCTGAACGCTAATAGCAAAGGTGGTATCCTGCAGTAATGTAATTGAAACCCAACTGGATCTTAAGGTACTGTTCAGTCAACATCGATTTAACTCCAATCGATCCATGTGAGAGAGCTCTCTCAAACGGGGCCTTGTTTGTGAGATCTGAAGAAGAGAAAGTATGTGCCTGTGATCTTTCCTGTGCCATTAACCGGCTTGAGTTTCAAAAGCACTGTGCTTGGTCTTTTTTAAAGCCGTAAAAAAGAGTCAGTTTGTTCAGCGTTCAACCACCAACCATTCTGCGTTCCCCCAAGATGAGCGATCTTTTGATTGCAGACATTCAGTTCCAATATTGACCCTGTCTCGTGTTCGTGGGTTGTTTATGACTATGCCAGGAAGTCGGGGATAATATAGCCTGCATTCAGGTTGAAAAAAGAGTGATGTTTGATGTTTTCATCATCCGGAAAACTGGCAGATAAAATGCAAAGGATTTGTAGCGTCCGTGCGTGCAATTTATCATTGGTGGCAAAAGCCGTGTCCCCATACAGTTATGAGCAGAAGCTGTTGCAAATTTAGATGCCGATATCAGTTTCATTGTAAACATAGTTTAAGACTATGCAGGCATTATAAGGTTATACCCATAAAAGACATAGATCCCCAAAGGGTGCGAAACACATGTTTTAGAGTCGTAAATTTCCGAAGTAGCTGTAACCAGTTGATCCTGCCTTTTTAAAATTGTAGTTGAAATGCCTGCCAACCATATTACGCGGTTTCAATCAGCCAACGCTGTTTCAGCACTAACCCACGATAATTGGGGCCACACATTACCAACTGCGTAGCTTATGTTTAGGTCCTTCGAGATGAATTGTCAATAAAGAGCGTTTTCAAATCGGAAGTCAGTTCTTCAACTTTGACTCGTTTCAGGAATTGCAGTGAAGGACGTTGAAGACTTCTATCAGCAAATGGCGTGACAATACTTTCAGAGTCCTTGCTAGGTTTACATTTCAGAGGAAATGGCGCCAAAAGGTCGGACCATTGTCAGTTTCGGATATTGTAAGCTCTGCAGGACCCGGGCTACCCGTACGATGTCTTGCATTTCAACATCAAATCCCACCCCTAGAAAGCCCCATCAGACGGCAATCAGCTTGCATTTCACGAAATTCAAACCGCATCATTATAATATCCAGAGAGATGATTCACAGCAACGCGAAAGGCATGTATGTTACTCATCATTCGCCACTTCCAAATAACCGTTACCTAACAAACAAAATTCAAAACCAAATTTACAGAGATGGAAAATGTTTTCCAGCTGAAACTGGACGCCCGAACTTATGGACCAGAAATATGCGATGTGATCACAGAGATAGATAAAAAATACTGCGTTGTAATATCAACAATGTTGTTTTGTAATATCGACAATATTTTTAGGTACCAAACGCTCCTCTAAGAAGTGGGTGGGGCTTGAATTTATGGGATGTCCTATTTAAAAATAAAAACCTATTCTGCTAATATCTACTAATTTGACATTCTTCTGACTACACGTACCAAGGGTTTTGTGCAGTTATGAGTAAAAGATTGTAATTCTGTAACAACTCCCCCGGTAGCATGAAAACAAAAGCGAGACATGTTAGGGGAAAAATTGTTCTCTTTTATCTAGTTTGTAAATCGTGGATATTGTTAGATGAGTTTTAATTTGAATTTAAAGAGTAGTAGCTAAAATATCTAATTTGGTTCTGCTGCGACATTTTGAACGGGCGAATGTCTCGAGTAACATGAAATCCATCAAGTGAAGGAAGCCCTGTCTGCACAATTGTCCCCTAAGGCAATGCAGCCAGAAGACGAAAGAATAACTGTACTAACGCGGCCTGCGTTGGGTTCCATGAAAAACGAATCCTTATTTATGCCTGTACTGTTCCCCTGATTAAAAGTGCTGCTGCTCGAACATTGAAACAGCACGATGGTGACATAATGGCATAACAAAGCTTTTAATAGGTACACATTTTTCGACAGAGAGGTTGTTAACGAAGAATCATTGAAGATAAAAACAGTATATCTAATATCTTCATAATGCGTTCTTTCAATAGGCAAAATGTTCACATAATTTGAAGTGATACTAATCCTTCAAAGTGGAATAATACCTACTTGCTCGTTTAATACATTTGAATTGCCGCACGCGTGGCGCATACTGTATGGAGTGGCCTGGAACAACAGGTTCAGACTAAACCGTTTTAGGTATTTATGAATATGTGATGACTTTTACCATGCTAGCTTTGGATTAAGGGGATTAACATAGTTTTTCTCAAAGCTTGACAGTCAAATTATCCTGGTGCGTTGGAATGGTTACTATTAAAGGATTCATACCTGTTACTTGCCAATGGTCGCATCTTTCTTCTCAAAGGAAAAGAATTCGTGACGCCGATAAGTGTTCATGGTGGCAGAACTTAAACTCATCATCATGATGGGACAGTTTCCAAAAGTGTCAATACAGCATGCTCCATTTCTTGATGTCAAATATCTTGGGAACTGAAGAAGTGCCATAAATTCTCTAAATATGGTTAGCATGGAAAGATCTCGTTTTCCAAGTGGATCTTGTGCATACAAACAAACACGGGCGTCAATCGCTGCCGGAGGTGATGTGACTACACGTATGGTGACATTTCTGCCAGTCTACAGATAATTGTATAAATTTCAAAAGTTCAATTGGGCGGGGGGGGTCACGGACTTCCAATGGGGGACACGTACGTGCCACCCCCCCCCCCTTGGAGACAGCGTCGGTCGGCAAAGGCAAGCACACCCAGAGATTATTGAGGTGAAGTTAGCTTTAGAAAACGCGTGGGGATTGTCTTCCACGCGCATTATATAATTCCTCAACGTACCCCTATAAATTACAAAATTGTAATGCCACTCTGTCCTTTTTTGAATATTTCCATCAAAACAAAGACTTTTCAGTGGAACAAAATACTTTTACAATCGAAACGCAAAAATGGGTTGTTATATTGTGCAGTACACATACTTATAAATCAGGGTGAGATCACGTTGTTGAAATTATAAACCAACCAAAGGAAAACTTATTATTGTGGAAACTGCAGTGACTCCATATCAGCTCTCCCTAACACACGATAAGATATTTAATAGTTCCCGCCAAAAGTACACAAGTTTGCCCTGTGAGTCTGCACGTCGATCTGGAACGCCAAAAAATGGCATGGCCAAAGCTATACACAGAGTCATCAAGAAACTGAATAATGTAGATTTCACAGAATTGCAAGGTAAAAACGTGCTTGTCAGCTGGCCAAAAAGACAAGATGCCCTCTAATGGTCAAATTTTGGAGATATTGGAGGCAGATGTGTGCAGGAGACGGATGCCGAGTTATCACTAATGATATAAGGGTCGGTGTTAGGTAACGGTTGCGATGATGTCCTCAGTCGTCCAGACAGCGTACTCGGCAGGATTGTCAGATCAATATGTGTATCGCTCTCGATGCTCCGTTTATCGAAGCGTGGGCTGCCCAATTCGCTGGCATCTCCTCGCTGGTATGTCAGGCGACTCATGCTGCTCGACTTGAGGGGACTTTGCGATGACGATCGGATAATGGGTTCGGTGGGGTCGGCCATGAGCAGAAGGTCCTCCATAGAGCTTGACGTCTGCCCGGCGTGGCCACGGACTCGTCTGTGGGGTTTCTGCGCAGCGGCTGAGCAAGGGCGCATGGGAGCAGCCGGTGGCTGGGGTCTCCTCGTAAATAAGCCTCCACGTGATGTTGATGAAGGTGAAATACCTTTGGAGAGGGTCGGCGAGTTGTCCTGCACGTCCTTATCGAAAAGCGGGAACTGGTGATGTTCATGTCCCGCAGGATGCTGCTTCCCTACTCCATGAACGTCGGGAAAGCTGAATCCGGTTGCCGGCAAATCATGCGAACGATTCTCCAACAGTAGTTCTTTAGACCGGCAAACTAACTCATCCATGTACGTGAAGTGCTGCCTTGATACTGCACCGTTTCCTGTCTCTAAGGTCAAGCTGCTGTCAGACGTAGTACAAAGAGAAAGTGGAGTAAGACCATGACTCAGCAGATCCTCCACTACCGAGGTAATATGTACATCCCTTTGAGATGCCAAGGCTCCGTTTTTTGTTGCAATTGTCTTGGTCTGACAGTGAGACAAGAGACCTTTCTCTGTCATCTTCTCTGTGTATGGTTGCTTAGGGAGCAGGACCTCCACTTCAGAGGTGGAGCAGCCAGCCTCTCGCGCCCATTCCGCCGCGTTCATGTTCCTCACTTCATCCCGGATGACGACCGACGCCTTTGCTTCCAGGGCCAGCAGCCGAGCACAGTCGATGTACCCGTTCTTGGCCGCCTCCATGAGGGGTGTCATGCCGTCGGCGTTCACCTTGTCCACCTCCAGCCCAAGTCTGCGGAAAGACCGGGATATGATCTCAATAGCCTCGGCATTGTTGGCCAGGGCGCAGTACATCAGGGGCGTGTTCCCGTTGTGGTCCTCCGAGTTTGGGTCCACGTTATTGCGGACGAGCTTCCTGATAACGCCGTTGCAGTGTAACTCGCAGGCGTAGCTGAGGGCACTTCGCCCTACGTGGTCCACGAGGTTTACGCTGGCCTTGTAACTTATCAGCAAGTCAACAACTTTGTTCCGTGTCTCGGCATCAGAGACCCTCATGGCTCGAATGAGGGGCGTCTTGCCGTGTGCATCCCGTGCGTCCACGAGTGGTTGACCCTCTACCGCGTCCAAAATGAACTTGGCTAGATGGATCTTTCCTTTGGCCACAGCATTGTGAATGGCCAGGGTACCCGATATCTGACCGAGGCTTGCCCGTCTTGTTCTGTCCCGTATGGACGGTACACGCTTAAACAGCGTTTGCAGGGCCGGCGCCGCCGTGCCATCCCTGGACGACATATTTCCAAAGAGATGTACCTAGTGGTTTACCGCTGGAGAACGAACAGTGTTCACGGTCATGTCTGCGTTACTTTCAACCAAAGCGTCCAACCTACCTCCGAGACGGTCGTAATCTGTGCAATGTCTTGATGACATGACAGATAGCGATGCCGGATGTAATTATGTAAGCAGCGTGTCATAAAGAAAGGTCCCCACAGTCCAACGGAATGAACTCCACACATCGAGTCGATGATGTGGTGAACACCCATCCTATGAGCGGCCCATCCCAGTGCGCATTCGGCACACAGCTAGTCAATTCTCCAATATTTGCTCGTATAAATTATGCCAAGTTCCGACAATCGTTAGAAGGGGTAAAAATAATGTCCCGCCGATGCGTCGTGAGTGTGTGATATACAGCGCTGAATAAATTTATGCGATTTGCTCCATCCGTTTCCTACCCCGTCTGCGGAGAACCTCAAAGAGTTCGTGGTTTGTCATGTACAGCACGGGCTGGCCCTTGTCTGTCGCCAATCACCACTCTAGGTCACGAGCTGGGTTCACGATAAATGATGCATTATGCAGCCAGTAAAGCCGGTAATGCTATCTCCACTATTGTCCTGAAAGGAGTGTTGCCATCTAAACCGAGCGGGTTAAATAATGGCCATAAAGTTACTGATACACACGCTTTCCTCGTATCTAGGATCCCTCGCATACCAAATGAGCAGTCACTCCCTATAGCAATTTCAACCGTTGACAAACATCGAGAATAAGACCATAATGAACAGGTAGGTATTGTACTATTAACCCAACCCTGTAATAAACGATAAATTCGTCTCGAGGCCTTCAATGACAAAGGCACTCGGCGGGTTGAAAAAGGGGGTTACCCGGCCCGACCGTGTCGCTGCATCAGTCAAAACGGATTGAGACAAAACAGCAAGGACGGAGTATAGCACTAAAATTTGTTCTGATGGTGAGGAATTTACCGTTGGGCCCAGTAATCATCGTGATAATTCAGAGTTTAGAGCGTATTTGCATTTGGGTGTGGTTGTTACACTTCTGTTATGTCCAAAATATAAAACAAGAAAGGGAACTATAGGCCTAAAGGGTTTTGTAATTGAGCTATTTACATATTCAACAATTAACTCATGAGCTATTCAGCAACAAGCAATTCCAATTACATGTAAAGGAAACTGTTTACTTCCCTCGAACCAGCTTTTGATGGTCTCTGTTCACATCACGTGGGGCGCTGTGACCAGTCCGAAAATTAGGCCAGTCAATGTCTCGAAGAGCGTCAAATTCACGCTGACGCCAATGTTTTTTTTACGCAGCAGTGCAGTGGGCACAGATTAAAGGTACAGTCCCACATTTGCAGTTGTCCATAAAATGACTGACGGAATTGTTGTTGAAAATTATAACATAGAGTGAATGCAACAAGAAAATCTTGTTACATCAAAAATTCAAAGCACTATGGAGCGTCCGCGTCTATAAGGTACGTGGGATAATGGAGGTATTTTGTCTTTTCCTACCTCAATGGTTCGAAAAGCTTACACTGACTTGGGGATGGTCTCGTGTGCTGTGTCTAACAGGTGTGACGGTGGGAACGCGGTTGAACCCATGCAACTCAAGCGAGCTAATCCAACGAATCCTATGGAGACTCACACTTAAGATGAATTGGATATTTTGCCGTCGCCGGCTAAAGTTCTTAAACGATATTATGCCGGTAGCCTTGTTCTGATTGGTTCGTATTTATTGCCTCATCGTCGTTGATGTACATGTACTTGTCGGGCCTACCCTAATGATTTTTCTAGTGCAAACTGAACTATTTAAAAAATGCACCAAACATAACGGAATAATTGTCTTCATACTTGCAGTTGGGTATGTGAGTAAAAATAACAATTTGTGTATGTGGCGGCGTGGGGCGCTTGGAGGTATAGGGCCTCCTTGGGTTACGAAGGGACGGGGAAGGGTTGGGTCGGCACACAGGTCCTTGGGACTCGAAGGATGTAGGTAGACTAAAGCAGGGTTGTCGGCTTGCTCATGTATAACAATTTATTTCGTCTGCCACACCGTTCAGCCTACACCTGTGGATGTCAGGGCAGGCGACTCAAATGTTATATA